GTCTTTTGTTTGCATCGGCCATTTTGTCTAATCACAGGACGTGATCCCGAATTTAATTCTTTAATAATTCGAAAGTAATCTAATTTGTTTAATTATAAGTGGTAGAGAACTGTTACTTGTATCATTACGCATATTTCGTGTTAATTTCATGTAGGGAAACATAATTTTATTTGACATAACCTCAAAAATGACAAGACAAACTTAACACCTATTTTGGTTGTTGTAGGTCGTCGCGTGAAGGCCGTTTTCGACGATTGTTGTTCTCCAGACCCGAAACGTCGCAGCCCTAACATAATCACCGATTTTCTCAAGGTTTGTATATGAAAGTTTGGAATGGGGTTAATTTTGGGGTTTTAGGGCGTCGTTGAGAGCCAGGACGGACGTGACATTGTACTATTACAAGGTAATTAACGGGGGCCCGACTTGCGTCTACTCGCTTTGCTGGGGACGGAGTCCCGTTTGCTATTCCCAGCAGCGCCGTTAATGGAGTGTGGGGGCGACGCGGAGGTGTGTTGGCGGCCGTACGCCTCTCTGTAACTCTGCAATTCGACGTCGATGCTATTCTTGAAGTTTTTAACCCCATTTGAGAGGGATTTAATCGGGGGCGGTTTGTCGATTTTTGAGGGGGAGGACTTTTTCTCCATCTCTTCTTCGCTCTTGTCTTGCGAGATTTCGTCGTATGTTTCTTGTTCGCCTTCGAGTTGTTCGTCATCTTCTCCTTCGAGGACAGCTGAGCCATTGGTGGGGGAGTCGTGGGACCTTTCCTCGGCCTTCTCGAGGGCTTCTTCGGACTTTTCGAGGGCTTCTCCCGACTTTTCACGGGCTTCTTCTTCCAGTGAACGTCGTTTCCTGAAAAATTTTCGAACATGACATGAAAAAGTAATAAAACTCACTCTTGTTCCGTCCCAATTTTCTTATCCATGATTTCCTCCAATTCGTGCACCTCTTTGGTGATGGTAGAGAGAAGTTTTCCCGATTCTTCCACCAGACTAGAGTAATTTTCCTCAATTTCTTTGATTGTTTTATCGTAATTACTCTTCGCTTGGACTCTCTGGCCCAAACTTTTCGTCAACTAAAAACTAGCAAAATAACCGAAAAAATCACAAATTTGCGACTCACCAACGACAATTTAAACGTTAATTTTTCAATCTCGTTTTGTATCCGATTTTTTTCTTCTTTCTGTTTCTCTATTAAATAATTCATTTCGTTTCGTTGTTTTTTGAGAATCGACATTAACTTTACGATTTTTTCATTGTTTTCACGCAATTCATGCCCAGAATCACTCATTTCATTGTTAAATTTTTTAATCGAAAACTTTCAATTTTGACAGTTGATGACATTGATGATGTTCCCAAGACGCCGGTGATCAAAAATATGACATGCAAAGAGGGACCACCCACGCCGCATCGAATCGAATTGTGTCCTGACGAAGGCAAAATTGAGGCGAAACCCAAAGCCAAGAAACGGTAATTTTTTGAAGAAATTAAAGTTTTTTTTTAAATGGAAATTACCAAGTCAAAATTTTGGTGAAAAAATAATTGGTATCAGCTTGTCTCTATAGCCACAAATTTTGTTTTTGTTCCTAGAAATTTTGTTAAAAAATTGAGATGTTGGCAAAATTTTGATTTTTATAAATCTTGTGTGCCTGTTTGCTTTTTGAAAGCGCTATAATTGAATATCTGAGGACAGACATCATTACCTAAGGTCTAAAGACAGAATTCAGTGCTATTAATTTTGACAGAAACACATCGCAAGTAAGTATAATGTTGTGGACAAAAATGAGATTCTTGCTAGAAAAACTTTCAAGAAAAAGGATGTATATACAGAAAAAAATTATTTAGTAAAAGATACAAGTGGGTATTATGATGATTGACAATAAATTTTGTGTAATTTATTGAAATGAGCTCAAAGTTGATGCATTTTATAAATTCTTCTTCAGCTTTAGTTTTAAAATTGTTACTTTTTCAACTCGTTTCTCAAAAACATGCACAAGACACTAATTTAATTGCTTTCTTTCCGAGGTTCTGTCTCATTCATGTTTATTTTGTATTCTTATCAATTTTTTGCTAAAAATTAAGAATATTTAGCAAACCTGCATTACAAATTGGACCCTTTTTCTAACTTCCTGCTTGCGAACTATTCGTTTCCAAATTTCGAAAAACTGTTAGTGTACCGAATTTGTTTCTTTTTTGGTGTTTCGTCTCTAAATTTTTTGTGTTGACGTTTAATGACATTGTTTTCAAATTAATTCAAAAAACCGAAACTGCCAACTTCCTTTATTAAAATTACCATGAATGAATTTACTAGTGATGCCAACGTTAAGACTGTTTGGCATTTCCATTAAAAAAAAACAAACTTTAGTAAACTACAATAGTCTATCTCTCTCTAACTCATTCCCTTTTCTTCAAGGTTGAATTGTCAACTGTCAACCAAGGACAACAACCACAAGGTCACTGATTACTTTCCAGTTCGGCGTTCTGTCCGTAAAACGAAAAAGACCGTCATGGAAGAGAAACAAAGAAGTTTGGAGGAGATGTTGCGAAATGGTGTTGAAGAAGGGCTCGAGGTTAGGGTTTTCTCGAATAAAGGTCGTGGTGTGGTCACTTCGCGCCCTTTCACCAAGGGCGATTTCGTAGTCGAGTACAGTGGCGACCTCATTGACATTAACGAAGCAAAAAGACGCGAATTGAAATACGCCCAAGATTTAAATACCGGATGTTATATGTATTATTTCAAACATAATAATCAACAGTATTGGTAATTAATACTAATTTGAATTAATTGTGATTAATTGTAATTTTATAGTGTGGATGCTACCGCCGAGACTGGTAAATTGGGGCGATTGGTGAACCATTCGCGGAATGGTAATCTCATCACCAGGACCGTATCGGTGGATAATAAGCCCCGGCTTGTACTTATTGCGAAGGATGATATCAAAGCCGGCGATGAAATTACTTATGATTATGGTGACAGGTCGAAAGAATCGCTGAAGCATCATCCATGGTTAGCTTATTAATTTATTTCTTTTTTTTAATTTATTTTTAATGTAAATGACGGAGTAGCCGATATGGCTAATGTAAGAAGGCACAATTTGTTTTAAAGTGGTCACTGCCTTTTTTATTTGATTTTTGTGTGTATTTACTCGACTAGAAAGAACGGTTAATTACTAAAGATTAGGTAATAAAAGATTGTTTTGTGAGGAGTGTTGCAATATAGTAAAATCCTGTCGTCCTTGTCCTTAAAATTGGCCGCCAATTAGGCGCCTATTTCCTGTTAATACAGCGTGATTGAAAAAGGACCATATTTTAACATTTTTATATCACTATACAGCATGAACCAAAAGTAACGCACAAAATTTATATTTTTGTCGATTTTATTTTTATAAACGCTACATTTTGACAGTATTGTAACATTTATGACTTGTTTTAAATGACAACCAACAATTTTGTTGACAGTTTTTGGTAATAGGTACATTCTTCTATGTTTTTAAAACAAAATATTGATTGTTAATGCAGAAAAAACAAAAATAACGTCATTACTTATAAATCATTGATGTTATAAATAATACAAAAAAAATCGACCCATAAAATTAGGAATTTTGTGCGCTATTTTTGGTTCACTCTGTATAAATGGTTGTACGTTTCTTTGGATCACCGTGTATGCGGGAATATAGGAATGATTCAACGTCGGTATACAATGGAAAACAAAAGAGGATTTACCTATTTTCACATTATTGAATCGAATTATAAGATATTTAAAGCGTTTTATTGGTTGCATATGCAATTCTATAATTTTTAACTAGTAACCATAATAGTAATAGTCTATACTCTTTCAAACGGCAAATTAGTAGATTTTATTTCTAAAATTTGAGTTCTACTAAACCTTATAAAACACACAAGTAATGTTACCATTTTCAAATAAGAAAATAGAAAATGTAGATAAATTCTGAACGCAGAATTCGTAAATAATAGGCTACAAAAATTGATATTGACAGGTGTCAATTTTTTAATGACATTTACAGTTATTTGTAGAGAAAAAAATTCAAGAAAATAATTATTTGAAAATATCTTTTCTACCCCATGTTGGGCGCCAATTTCAAATTTTAAATAAAAAATTTGTTGTTTCACAAAATTGTCACAGAAATTTGATGACAATGCAAATGTCGAGCGCCATTTTGTTTTCTTGAACAAGTAGTGTAGCTTGTTTGTAAGTTTTTATTATATTTTTCTCTTATTTTAAAATACGAACAGCCCTGCGGTGGGCACGACTTTTTACCCGTAATTATTTAACTGAATTAAAAAAAATTAGTTGTCCTGATGATGTATCTTGGTTACGAAACACTTTTTTTGATGTTTTCTGAGTTCTACAAAACGTGAATAATAACGAAATCTATTTTGGAAAATAAGTGAACTCACTTGCTTTATTTCTGTTTTGCTTTTATGAATCAGAAATGAATGAAATGAAATGTAAATAATGTTTTTTAAAACGATTTGATCAGAAAACGAAGAAAAAACCTCTAACGTGGGGTAAAAGTATAGAAATTATTAAGAAAGAATAAAAATTTATAAATATTTTTTTGATATTGTTTTCAAATTTATTGTTTTGTAAATTTATGACGTTCACTGCACCTCCTAATATTAACACAACTGTTTGGAAAGATAAATATAATACAAGGTGGTTATAAATGATTTTCATCTAGCCAGCTGTGAATTTTCCATGTAAAATAAAAAATGCCGCTTTACGAAAATAGGGGTACCTACTTGTTGTAACTCAAAATCGCCGTTTACTAAGCGTCCACTTCGAAAATAGACTTCAATTATAAACTTGTTTTCTTCCAAAGTATACATTATTATCAATTATTATTGAAAATTAGTTGAAACAATAAAAGTTTAATTAACAACAATTTATTATTAATTAATAAGTGACACTAATGACAGAACTAGAGCTTTCAAAAAAAGTAGAGCGGCACAAATAAAGCTACATGCAAAAAAATTCCAAAGCTGGCTAGATGAAAATCATTTATAACCACTCTGTATATACAGTGTGTCTCCGAATAGGTGAAACGACCCTTATAAAAGGTAAAAATTCTGGATTTAAATTTCTATTTTTTTTGGGGTTTAGCCCTGTTTGGTTAAGGACTAATTTCTAGCATAATTTTAGTTTTGAAAAATCAAGTATGCCTTGCAAATTAAAAAAAAAAACAATTTTTCTGTTGAGTAAAATGCCTTTTATGTGGCAAATACAACAAAAAGTTGTTAAGAAAAGTTGTTTAGAATTAACATTTAGGCCCGTATACCAAATTTGATCGGTCCTCTACAAGTTTTTTATGTTTTTTTTCAAAATAATTGCTTATTTTATAATTAGCAGAAACGTCAATAATTAACTTAGTACTAATATTCTAAATGTATTATTTTTATTCGTAATAAAAGAACTGGTAAAAATCGGGTGTGAACATCACACGACTTTCCTTATCCTACTTATTTGGAAAACATCTTTACGACAATAATTTAGTGTTGGAAATCCTAGTACCTACCTAATGTTAGTGCCACCTGGCGGATACACGCGAAATAGATCATAGTTGTCGCGGGTTCGAGTCTGGAGTGCAATTTTTTATTAGTTCGGTACCCATTATTATTTTTATTTTATCACATTTTACTGTTTAATAAGGTATATTTCATGATTCTAAATAATTTTTATCCCCATAAATTTATTGTATTTTCAACCGTATAGTTTTGCGGCCGAACGGTGCGACCGATTTTTACCAATTGTTCCGTGCTGCGTCCCCTACCTACAAGTAACTTACATACCAAATTTCAAGTTTCTAGCTTTTATCGTTCTCGAGATATGTTGTTTACAGACACACACACGACCCAATGGCCCAAACCAATTTTTTGATGTCTTGAAGCTATAATACGTCCAGAAATATAAAAATATAGAATAGGGAAAGTAAAAATAAAAATTGTTTGATTTGTGAAATAATAAACAAAAAAAAAATAAAAAAATCAGTTGGTCGATGATTTTGAAATTTGGTATACGGGCTTATAGATGTTGATTTTAAACAACGCGTTTAGGTTAGAAGTATGGAATGCTTAAAATTGGTATTAATTGTTCCACTTTTATTCAAAAAAATAGTAATATTTTTCAGTAATGAGACTAGATATTTTCAAATGACGAAACCCCCAAAATATCTTGAAAATAGTTTTTGTGGTCTAAATACGATTTTTCGCGTCGCATAATTGCATAGTTTCGTCACCATACGACCAAACTGCAAATAGGGGAAAACAATCACATCTGAGTCATTATCCATAAGCGAAGCTATAGGGTGCATACCCAACTACGTCCTCTTCTAAGTTGAAGTTTATCATCAAATTATGTAAATCAAGTACAAGCCATAAAGGCAATCAATTAATATATATCAATGAGTGTTTGTCGTGGTCCATGTTGGGCGCCATTGTCACGTGACGCTTTCCCATCGGTAATTCGGTCGTAACATCCATCAATGTGTGTAAATGTGCGACCGGACACACACGAGGGTGTTATTTATTGTGTAAACCTTACCACATGCCGCCGTCTGATCTATTTGTCACCGAGCAGTGAAAAGTTGAGGGAAAACAGGTGTAATTATCTCGATTCAGACGAAGAAAAAAAAAAAAAGAAAAAACAACGGATTAAGTTTGAGAGAAGCCTTTTCTCATCGATTACCATCGCAGATAATGACCGGTTGGTTCATTCACGGCAGCTCGTCCTCTTGGTCTAGTGGGCCGCGATATCGTCACCGGAAATTAACTTTTACTATCTACCCTCGCCGGGGCGTACCCGACCATTTATTATTATTATAATAATAATAATGTGAAGAGCGTTCGATGGTTCTTCCAACCTACATATAGAAATTTTGATTTTTTTTCTTAAGAGACTATAAAGAGGAAAAGTTGCTGTTTATTGACGTACGTCAGGTGGTCATGTTATATATAAAATTCATGAATTATTTAAACGTTTGTAAGGTATTATTATGGCAGCTTCTGTTCAACGAAACCATGAAATGTCGCCTCGGGTCCGAATTGTATGAGTTATGAGCCAATTATGGGCCAATCAACGAGCTCTGCATATGCACAACGTTACACGATATTTACAACTGCTATTATATTGCACGGAAAAATGCCAACGGTCGTTAGATGGGGCGAATTTTAATTGGCGCCCAACATGGGGCCTGACCAACGAGATAATGAAGCCGTAACGATTTGGCAAGTGGTGAAGTAACTATACGTATTGTGATGGAATACGTAGTTAATTATATTTTTCAACGATGTTGAGTGCAATTTGAGTATCAGAACCAAACTTTAAGACAGATTTCAGACCAAAAGTGTGAAATATTTAATTACCCCAAGTTGGGCGTCAAACAAGACTGAGAATTGAAAATATGAAATCTCGGCTTTTGGCGATTAAAAGTATGTGGCATGGACACATGTTGGGCGCCAATCTAATATGAGGATTTTGTATAGGAAAATTAGGATTGAAAATGTGGAATATCTAAGCACCAACTAAAAATGGTATTAAGTGGTATGCCCTTTTAACTTTTAAGAGTCAGAATCAAGTCTACGAACTTTGTGTAAATTGTACATTTTGAGTGTTTCTTTCGTTTTACTTTCTTATAGAGATTGTTGAAAATGGAAACATCCAGATTGGGCGCCAATAAAAAATGGTGTTGAGTAGGTAATATGCATGTAGATTTTTATGACAATGTTTTTAAGCTGTTGATTTTGCTTAGTTTTAAAAATATGACGATTTTTTGACGAAAACATGCACTTTTTAGAAATTTATTACACAAAAACTAAGACATCTAGAAATATTTTTTTACTACCGCAAAGAAGAAGGTTCAAGCTATAAGGTTGTAACATTTTTTTAGTGTGTTGCATTTGCAAAGATAAAAAAATGAAGGCGTTTGTTAAAAGTTCAATAACTTAAAAAAAATAAATGGAACATTGTATTAATTGTTTTTGCATTTAAAAGATTATTAAATTGTTTTTCTAAAATTATTTACTTTTAGGTGTTTATAATCAATAACTAAAAAGATATTTAACATTAAACATTACAAAAAAATTACTATTGTTTCATAGCCAAAAAGTGCACAGTTGCACAAGAGATGGAAGAAATATCACTTAATAATCACATTTGTGTTAAACCGAATCCATTATTTTTTAT